TACAGGAAGCAGCATAATTGAAATTGCACCTAAAATAAATTATCAAAATTAAAGTACAATTTTGCAATATGATATGTTTTGATTCTCGCTTCCAGTTTAAAAAGCAGCTGAGCAGGGGTTGATTTGTTTCGCACCCTTCTCACTCGTAGATAGATAAAAACTAGTTTTTGGGTTTTTCATTGGCAACAAAACAGGTCCATGTCGAAAATTCAGCCGTATTCAGAGAGGCTCAAATGAAATTACCACCAACGGCGCATGCTTCAAAAATATAATCGAGAAGCTGGTCGATTTCAATATGTGAATGCAAAAAAAAAACACATGCGCAAATCGGCAACATCTGCCTCTGTTTTTTTTTTTTTATTTTGCATGCGCCTCATTTTTGTTTTTTTACATGGGCGTTTTTGGCTACACTTTGCGTAGGTCAACGTTGACGTCAACGTCGTCGACACATGCGCAGCTCTTTTCCACTTTTTTTGCCTCTGCTTCTTTCATTGATCTTTAATGCATCCAGCATCCCTTGCTTCTTGAGCATTGCATGTGGCTCTGCTCCACATCTTCCTCTTCTTCTGCTTACCGCACTCCTCCGTTGCGTGCTTTACTTTTGCGCTCTCGCTTTTTTCGTTCCTTCATTTAGTTGCTAATTTTAACAGCACTCGAAAATGTAGCTTGAAAAACCTCCTGCGGTCGTCAGTTTCGTCGACCAGCTGAAATATTATGAAATGCAGCTGTTGTTCCTCAGTTTTAATTTGCATTGCAAGTTCAACCAATCTGCCAGCACTAAAAATTACCTTCTCCCTTTTTTTTTTGGGTGTGTTAGAAATGTCCATCAAAAGCTCTCCCTTTGTCTATCTCTTCCAGTCTTAGCATTTTGTATTGCTTGAGCACATTATTCGTTTGTTTCTCACTTGCCTATCGGATAACCGTACTGTGCTTATCATTTACACTCGACATGCAGTAATTGCAGTTGTAGTTGCGCTTGCGCCTGTTCCTATTCTCCTTCAGCTTCTCCGCTTCTGTTTTGCATTTCGTGCAATTTTCATATTAACATTGAGACGACGGCGCGTCGAATGAATGAATGAATGAGTGAGCAAAATATTGGATGAATGACGCTTCCATCATCTTCTCTATCTGTCTTTCTCTCTCTCTGCTCTTGCGCACTTTATAACATAATTAATTGCAATTTAGAAACCTAGAGAGAGGTGGGAGAGGGAGCAGCAGACAAACTGCTCCCACACACAGAAGCTGTTTCACTTGCGCTTATAACTGTTTCCAAGCCCGTTGCTTTTAACGGTTGATTGTGATGACGATGATGTTGATGAATTTAAATGATTAATAAACAACGTAGCAAAGCTAAAGGGCAACTGTTTATCTCTCTCTCCCACTTTATTTACCCACACACGCACGCACATTTAATAACTGCACAACTTGAGCAAACACCTGTAAGACAAAAACAAAAATATATTAAATTATAAAAAAATGCGTCAGTCAGTCAGTCAGGAGACACCGTAAGTTGACGTGGAAGAATGGCAAAAAAGTGATATTGGGGAGGGGGAGAGGAGAGGGGCTTGATCTAACTAGTCGCGTCAAGCCTGAGTGATCACGGTAAAGGCAAAGAAAGAAGAAGACGAAGCAGAAAAGAAGAAGAAAAACATTCATTTATACTGTATAAATTTAGAGTGGCTCGTAAAAAGGCAAACTGAGTCAAGCAAAAGATAAACAATGCAACGCACTATTTTCCAACACTTAAGAAGTGCTTGTCCCCCACTCCCCCACCCCGTCCCCATTCACCGGGATAACTTGGCATTTTAGCTTTCAAGTTATGTTTTTTCGTTGTTGTTTTGTTTTTTTCCTTTTATTTATGTGTGTGTGTTCTCAAAAGGTCTTCAAGCGTAATAAAGTTCATAGTTGACGGCAAAACAAGACAAAAAACCAAAAATAGAAAAGAACTATAACAAGTGTATAAAATGGTATATTTATTATTTTTTTAATAAAGTTGGGAGAATTTTGAGATATGCATTTTTTATTATTTGCATGTGCAGAACATAACTGTCCGAAGAAATAGAAGAAGAAAAACAAAAATGGTGAGAAAATCGTATATTGTATTTGTGCATTGAAATGGTGTCAAATTGTTGTAGAAAACTATTTGTTGTGGTTTAAGCTTAAATCGCTTTGCAACGCTTTGTTTTGCTTCCCACCAACAATGTGTGTGTGTTTGTGAGTGTGGGTAAATGTTTCGCTGTTATGCAAATTGATTTGCTTTTTGTACATATTTTGACAACTGCGCCTGCACCTTTGTTTGCTTCTTCTCCTCATCATCCTCCTCCTCCTCCGTCATAAACATTTGCTGTTGTGTGTGTGTGTGAGTGCAATAGCTTTATATGCGTTCTTTCTTGCTCTGCACTTGCCCATTCACCTTCCTTCCGCTTATTGCGCTTTTTTCAACATTTATTTTGTGCGAGGTTTTTCTTTTTTATTAATTCAGCTTCAGATTCCATCTGTTCTTTGGTCTCTGTCTCTAGCGCATCAGCAACGCATCATTGCTGATCATCTATTAATTCTTTTTTCCACACTATTTTATATTATTTATTTTTTGCACTACTCTTCTTCAAAGCGCCGTTGAAAACAAGTTTTCGCTCTTAGTCGCTCTGTCTCTCTCTCACAGCAGCAGCAGCTGCCAGCTGCACTTTATAAACCCAACAACAACGATTCGCCATCCAATTCACTTTTAAGTCACGTTTTGCTCTTTTTGCGCTTTGGCGCTGCTCTTTCGTTAGTTGCTCTGCTCCGACTGCAGCAGCAGCTCCCCAAAAACACCAGCTGACAACAACAGATACTAAACACTGTTATAGCTATGGGGCTTTTGCTGCGCTCTCTTCGACAGAGCGATTGTGCTGCTGTTCTCTCTCTCTCTAAAGCTCGCTCTCTCTTCCGCTCTCTCGCTCTTTTCAATATGGCTGGCTGTGCATTGGCAATGCATGCACTGCTGCTTCTTCACCTGGCGCTCGTTGTTGTTGTTGTTGCTGCTTACACCTTTTGACTGAATGTCGCGACGTCGGGCCGTCACTTCGTCGCTCGATCGTTCCTTCGTTCGTTCGTTTGCTCGTTCGTTTGTTCGTTTTAACCATCAATGTTGACCGGCAAAATCGTATGCCGTGGGAAACAATTCGGTTTTACTTGTACATTTTTTTTCTTAATTTTTTTTTCAACTTTTTTCTTCTTCGCCTGCCTGTTGCCGACATCGTCGTCGTTGTTGCTGCTTCTTTATGTGCTGCTCTTTTGCGTCCGTTTTGCCGTCGTGTGTTGTTTTGTTTTTATTTTTTCTTTTCTTTTTTTGCTGTTGCTGGCCCGCTGCTTATTAATACACGTTTTGTTATACGTAGCGCAACAGCGTCGCCGTTGCTGTTGACGTCTGCTGCTTGCATTGCACTGCTGCGAGTTCGTTGCTTAAGTCTTTCGTTTTGCGTGTATCTTGGGCGTTTTTCATCTATTTTTTGCGCCTTCATTTTTTTTGAGATAGTTTGTTTGATTTCTACTTGTTTTATGGAGTGTTTTGATTCGCGCAAGTTGCATTTGCAACTGCTAGAAAAATCAATAATTTCTTTTTTTCTCTTTCTACTCAAATGCTTGTCCCTTTGTGCCATACAATTGCAATTACAATTACAACGGCGTGCGGCAAATTTTAGCGCCAGGGAAAGAGCGCCTCAATTGCCAAGCCCCATTAAATGTTAGTTAAGCAGCTTTGCTACAATTTTTCACCATCATCCGCATCATCATCGCCCTTTTTTCATTGTTGCTCGCATTGTGCCACGCTTTATTTTTTTTTATATATTTTTTGTTGTTGTTTGGGGTCCACAACGGATTACTACACCTGTGCTTAGCTTACACAGCATCTGAAAAAAGCTGAAGACAAGTGAAGAGGCAACATCAGACCTACTTCAGCTTAATTGAGCAATTAAACACCCATGTTCATATACACAAACATCAACAACAACAACATCAACAATAAAAAGCTTCCCAAGACAACACATGTGGAGCAGTCTCTATCTCTATCTCTCTCCATCTCTGTCTGCACTTTGAGCTCATGTCTTGTTAACAATTAAATTGTCATTTTAACAAGCTTCACTTGTTGTTGCTGTTGTTGTTAAAATGTTAATTGCCGAACAGTTATAGAAAACGGACAACAATCAGAGCAATAACACTCGAGCAACTATTTTTGGGCATTGCCTTGTTGTTTGTGTTTGAGAGTTTTTCTCAGCTTCTTGTGGGGGTTGTTCATGCACCCATTTATGGCGTCATAATTAAATAATAACTGCAACAGTATCTAGAAACCATATAAGCGCACAATGCACAACAATATCCCTAAAAAAATTCTTTGATATATTTTCTTACTACTTTTTAATTAAGTTGTCAACACGCGCTGACCTATTTTATGTTATTTGGCTTTGAATATTTAGATATTTTTTGTATAATCCACACCTCAAGTCGTTAAACGCGCAAACGAATTAATTTACAAATTTATCGACTATCAAAAATCAAACAAATTTTGCAAATCCAAATATGCAAATGCAAAGACGACGACGATAAATACGAAGTCGGCGCTTCAAAAACTGAAACGTAACAATAAATTGGACTCGGCTTAAAGTAAACCGAAACTAAATAAAACACAACAGCAAAAAAAAAAAAAAATCAACTGTTTGCTGTTCTTGTGACTCTTAATATTTCATAAGCCCGTTTTGTCGTCCTTTGCATGGATCTCTTTTTTTTTTAAGCAACTGCTACTCGATTTGGTATTTTCGTTTATGTTTGTGGCAAAATTCCACAGTTGATTTCTGTATTTTTTACTCGGTTCCTTTTCGGTTAAATACCACGTTGGAAGATTTATGGCCATGTTGCTGGGGATGCTGCTGCGGTTGCTGTTGCATTCTTGATGTGCAGCGTCAATTTAAATGAATTACTTTTTAATTTGATTATACTAAAACTCTTTCTTTTTCCCTCTGCAGGTCCACAGTTCCGGCAATTTTGAATTGCGATTGAAATACTTTAGCAATGAGCATGGCCGGGACAATGAGGGCCACTGTTGCAGCGGGGCAACGGATGCGACAACGGGCAAATGCATCGGTACATGCAAGACGAGATTTCGTGTGTGCCTCAAGCACTATCAGGCGACGATAGACACAACGTCGCAGTGCACATACGGGGATGTGGTGACGCCAATTCTCGGCGAGAACTCCTTCAATCTCTCCGATGCGCAGAGTCTTCAAGCGAAGGGCTTCACCAATCCCATACAGTTTGCCTTCAATTTTGCCTGGCCGGTGAGTAAAATACACTTGCAAAATCATCATCATCATCATATATATAACTATATTTAGATTATTTCCCCCAGTGCAGTGGGTGAGTCAGTTTTGTTCAGTCAGTCACTCAGTCAGTCAGTCAATAAAAAATATATATATTTTCAGTGTTGTCTCTTTTAAACGATTTTTACTCGTATTTTATGTTTGTTTTCAATTTGTGTGTTTCGGTGCTTTTTATAGCTGCCGTTGCCGTTGCAGTTGCAGTTGCAGCGTGGCGGCGACTGTGCGTCGTACTTACTTCCGCCCGTAATTGCAGCGTTCTCTGCGATCTGCTCTCTGCTCTCTGTGTCCTTGTCAAGGGTTGTTGCCGCAAACATCTGTCGACTATTAAAGCATATGTATATATATAATGCACTGAAGAACGCGTGCCGCGGCGCGCCTGCTGCACCACCAGCGACAATTTCCAGCTCGCTGACTACGGGTTTTTAGTTTCTGCTTCTTCTTCTTTTACCTCCACTTCCGAGTTTATTATCAACCCCTGAAAAAAGTAACGTTCGTTTGTGTTCTCTTCTGTTTTTTAATATGACTCGCTTTTTGACTCTTGATCACCCTCTGCAGATTTGTGTAGATATAAGCCACAGCTTTTACTTCCTACACTCGGAAAAACAAACAGCCTGAAATTTATATGACATCGGTATACTTAGAGCTCATTTTAACTCAGTTTGTTATTCAGAAAGTAAATTTCTAAAGTGGACGATTATATTACTGGGAAAATTCTAAAATTAAAAAAAGGGTAAATAAATAAAAAATAATTAATAAAAAATAATGACCCCCAGAATATTAATTCTAACACCCAGAATATTTAACTCACTTTCCAATTAGTATTTTTCTCTGATTTTGTAAAGTTTTTCTAAAATTTAAAAAATCAAAAATGTATGTCCTACATTTTCGAAAAATAGAAAAGAAAGTTTTTCTAATTTAAAGAAGTTTTTAAATCAGGTGGGTTTTCTACGGTTCTCTGAGTGTATGAAACAAGTCGTTTGCGCACGTGTTTACCCAATAAATTGCTAACAATTTGAAATACCTGCACTCTAATCGAATTCTTTCTTACCACTACTGCTCGCTCTTGCTGCCTGCTACTTCTTTTATGCTCCAGTGGCCAAGACACGGGGCATGCCATTTCTTAATTATTTAGCCAGTATTATGAGCACATTCGCTATTTTTCAAATATATGGTTCGCGCTCTTCGTTTTTTTTACGGCTAACGGCTACTGACTGACGGACTGATTGGATGGTTGGGCTGTTCACCCCAAGTTGAGGAACCCGGTTTAATTTTGTAACGTATTTTGCTTCTTCTTCTGCCCGCAGCGTGTGCTGTGCGCGCCTAATTTAAGGGGTGGGTTTGCCCCCTACCTCTCTCTCTTTATCTATCTGTCTTGCTCCCTCTCTCTCTCTCTCTCTCTTTCTCTTTGTACACTTTACTTCCTAATTGTTTGCGCATGTGCAGCGTCACTATTATTATCGTATGCCTTGACTAAAGTGGCAAAGTCATGCTAAGCCGGGCAGGCTGAGGGTGAGGGCAAGTTGTATACACACACACTGAAACACACGCTAATACCTAGCTAGACATATCGGCACGTGAAATGTGTAAGCAGCTGCCGCTGCGGAGCCAAATGAAAAAATTATGCAAAATGCGCATTTGCAACACATGCAATTAGCGTTTCTATAACAAATGCAAAAATATGCAACACGTGCCGCAAATGGGAATTAAGATAGAGTTAGTCAAATAAGCAAAAATATGCCCAAAAAGAGCGAAATTAAAATAAATTAGTAAAGCGAAATTAACAACTTCTTTTGCGCAAATGGAGTGCAAGATAATTTAAGTCAAACAATCCATAAGACGGATCTAGAGTTCAAGTCAAATACAACTAGATGCGGGAAACTTTCAAGCTAATATAGGGAAATTAATGACTATTTTCACCAAATGGGAAAGATAAGTAAAATATTACAAATAGTGCTTGAGTTATTAGCTAAACTCAAATATCCAACAAAGAGGGATATTAACAAAATAATAGAGAGAAATGATCGGCTATTTTTTTCCCGGATTAATATAGCTTAAATAAAATGATATAAAAGCGGACGATAAAGATAATTTGAGTCAAATATAGCAAAAAGTAGAGAAAATGAGAATTAAGAGAACTTAACTAGAATATAATATTTTATTATATACGCAAAGCAGCTTAGATTAAAATTGATGAAATCATTTTAATTCACAACCCCCTTAGGAAAGTACCTCCACTTCACCCTTTGCAAATAACTGGGTACGCCCTGGCTCGGGTGAATAGCTGCTTAAAGTAAAATATCCTAATAGAAGGAAACTTACAAACTGTTTGCTTTTTTGCACATTTCCAATAAGGACAAAGAATTGACTAATTTCTAGGTCGAACTAAATACTAAATACTTAATTATAGTAAGCGACTAGACGTGCAGAGTCGAGTCGCGGCATCAACTAATTTAATGTTGCACTTAATTAAAAGCGTGTGGCACGGGCTGTAGGAAGAGGGAACGGGAAGAGGGCAATGCATACGCATGCCTTGCAAAGATGTTCTTGGGGGTTGCCGGAGATGGGCAACCTCTCATCCCCCTACCCCCTCCCTTCCTCCTTCAGCAGTTGCTGCTAAAAATAGTCAACGACAAGTTTGATGCTGAACGTTGTCTGTGGCTGCTGCTTCTGCTGCTGGTGCTTGTTGCGTATTGAACTTTGTTACTTTTGGCTTTGTCTGTCAGTCTGTCTGCCTCCCTCTTTCTCTCTCTCTCTCTCTCTCTCTCTCTCTCTCTCTCTGCCTTTCCTGTGTTGCCTTGTCTTGTCTTGCATTGGCTGCCACTCCCACTCTGTTGCGCCCTATGCATTTGGCATGCACTTCACCCTATGCAGCAGCAGATATTGACGTTGATATACAGCGCCGTTGCACGCGATACACGTTCGCGTGTACTTCTGTATATCTGTGTATATATATGTGTATATATATATATATATGTGTGGCTCATTTATTTTTGGAGCTCATATATAAGTATATAGACATATATACTATATAGGTATTTACATATACATATACATAAATATGCATATATATAAATATATATAAATATATATAAATATATATATATATATATATTTTTTTTTTTTTTATAGTAAATGTGCGCCCTGTATTAACTCATAAATTGTCGACCGAGTAGTGAAAATATTGTTCAGCATAGTTTTGTAGCTTATTTATTATTTATTTTAAATATATGATTTTTATATATTATTTACTAACAATATTTTTGAGCAGCTCATTTATTATTTTATTAATCTCCAAAAGTTTTAGACAATGGAAAAAACACAAAAAAGCAAGCAGCCCAAAAATTAATTACTAATTACAATATTTGTATATGTATGTATTATAGTTAATATTAATAAATACATATATATAATAATTTATTATATATAATTTAACAACGGGGGAATCTGAATTGATTAACTGATAAATCTATTGTATGCATTTAAAAACTGCTTAATTTTGCAATAAACATTTGCAGTGCTTCAGTTGAGTTGCCATTGTGAACTGCCGATGATATATGCATATAGTTTTATATGTATATATATATATATATATGTATGTATGTATATAAGTACAGATGTCTGATTTGTTTCCTGTCGTGCCCATCAGCTTGATTATTGGCAAATGCACTTTTCAATGTCTGGCCACACCACAAAGGCAATTCGCTTCAGCCAGCTGCTTATGCAATCAATCGGCACTCTGCGGCTTATCAGCTAAATTAATTCTACATCAGCCGCCCACACACACATCAAACAACAACAAACAACAACAATCGAAAGTTAGTCAAAAATTAGTCATTTACATGCAATGCAATCCGAACTCAAACTCGAATTCAAATTCAAACTCGAACTCAAATACGCAATCAAAAAACACGCCCAGCTCAAGTAGTCGAGCTTGCTTTAGAGTTTTAAGCCACCTCTGCAAACGGCGACTCTCGTCTATTGCCAATAATATAAACACGCATATATGCAACATTTTGTGTCATCTCTGCCGGTTTTTGTATGGCCCCCACTCTGCCCCTGCCTCCTCGTTGCATTTGTAATCAAGTGTGAATTGAGGGCGCTGCCAGTTGCAAACTGCTGTGCATTTGAATTTGTGTGTGTAACCTGCAGTCTGTCTCATTGCATTAGTGTTTGCCTCATTGGCTTGTTGTCTGTCTGTCTGTGGCATGTGGGCGTCTTTGGAGCATGTTTTCTTTTTCTTTTGGTTGGTGCTGCGCTGTTGTCATAATCTGTCTATAATGAGGCACACTGGGGGCTGTGGGCTGCTGTGGCATTTATAAAAGCTTTCAAGCTATTAGCCTTAACTTGGTTATGGGGCCCCAGATCAGATCACATCAGGCTATAAGTGCGAGTTTGAGTTTAAACCACAAAACGAAAAGAAGACACACAAAACGATTCACTTCCCGTTTTGATTACGCCTGACCTTATTGCTGCTACTTTTTGTTACAATTGATGTTTTTCAAATTTTTTTTATTGTGTTTTAATTAACTATGTACAATTTGTGTTATAAATATCTTGTTAGCTGCTTCTACTTATTGTATTTGTTATTTTGTATTGTTTTTTATTTATTATGTCTCAATAAACTGTAAAAAGAAGCTTTTTTTATTATTATTTTGTTACCTTTCAAAACCTTTTTTTAATTTTTTTATTGTGCGTTAATCGACAATATACAATTGATGTTATAAATATCTGCTTCTACTTCTTACATTTTTTTTTATCAAGAATAGAAAATATGTCAGATAAATTTCTACTTAGCTGTTTGCTACAATTGTTTAACTTTCTTTTTATTTTCTACATTGCAGGGCACCTTCACGCTGATCGTTGAAGCCTGGCACGATACGAATAACAGTGCCAATGCGCGCTTAAACAGTAAGTACACAAAAAAAATCAAGTTTTTAATCACATCCCTTTTTCCTGGGCATATCCTGGTAAATATTTTTGCTGCCTTCAATTTTTAATGCATAATTTGTATCCTGCTTCCTGTGCGCTCAAAAGCGTTTCCCAAAATTGCTTTTTGGGTGAAAGCAAAGAGAGAGAGAGAGAGAGAGAGAGAGCGAATGAAAAAGGGAGAGGGAGAGGGAGACACCTGACACATAACCAAAAAACTAAAGTTACAAATACGTACATTTTGCTTTCCTTTGTGTTTTACTTTATTGATAAATTTTTAATTCATAACTTGCATCCTGCTTCCTGTGCGCTCAAAATCTGGTTCAGTAAATATGCTTTAGCGATGATCCTTGAAAGAAAGATGTAGTGTAGAAAAAAAAGTAGAAAGAAAGAGACACCTGATACTCAAACTCAAATTTCTAGTTGCACACTAACTGCGCAACTAACTAAAGTTCAACACTTATGATGTGTGTGTGTGCGAGTGTGTGTATAAGATTTCCGGCACATTGAGTGGTTTTAAATAACAACAGCCTACACAACACAGGTCTGTGTGCGTCAGGTATGGTTCCCTTTTTTAGTCAGGGATAAACCACAGCAGACTTTTTTGTCGCCTTTGTTGTCTGCTCGCCTTCGGAACGGAAGTGTGCTGAGGTCTGTCTGTCAGTCTCTCTGTCGTCCGTCGTTTACTTACTGAATGCAATTTAGTTTTTTTTAGCTTGGCTTGTGTTTGCTTGTTTTTTTTTTTGTTTTTTTAATCACGAACTCTTAGTTCTAGTCGAAGGATTTTTTTTTGTTTTTGTTTTTTAAGGAATTTAGCGATCGTGTACGGCGTGTAATTCATCTTGGAACAATGCGACATGATCGCTGATTCAGCCGCCCGATAAAAGGACCACACAACAAAAATCAGATTGCTGGCAATCGAATTAAAATATGTGTCCATGCAGCATTCAAGGACACTTGCAACACATTTTCTTTCGATTTTCTATGATTTTTTGTTATTTTCGAGAGAGTTTTCCCACACAATGGTTCACTACCTGTTCGGATTTGCTACAGCTGCTGATACCTGCACAATTTTGGTAGACATTTCTTTCACTTCAAGATTTATGAACAATTCATAGGAATTTTGTTTTTGTGCTAAGCACTGTTTTGTTCAACATTTTCTACTAATATTCTGTTCTTTAAAGGAATTTTAATTGGTTATCTCTCTTTTTAAGCTGGCATCCTGCTGATATCCTAGAGAGGAGCCACAATTTGTGGCACTAGGCGCATGTGGCCCAGACCCAATAGATCTTTATCGACTGGGTTGCTGCCCACCCCTATTAACCATTTAAAGTTTACGGAGATTTTGCAACTCGCTGTAAGCGCTTGTCAAGGATTAATTTCATTATTTTAAGTTGTTGTTGATGTTGTTGAACGATCTCCCGCATATTTGTGGCACGGCTGCGTAGCAAGTTTACGTCTGTCTCGATGGCCAACAAGTTTAGCAGCTCTTTTTTTCTTTTTGTTATATTCATTTAACATAAATTACATTAAAAAAAAGGAAAAAAAACGCGCAAGAAAACAGTGAAAGAAACCTGCAGCAGCCACACCGTGGCATGGTTGCGTGGGGGAGGAGGGGGGGGGGGGGGGAGTCCTCGACCTTTTCGCCAGTATTTGCCTGCAGGCAAGAGGCCAACAGTTGTATGCCTGCCAGCCACACAGGCACATATACACACACACACACATTGCTTGACCGGCTTCGTAGCATCGTGCTGCAAGGTGATTCTTGGCTTGATGCGTTGAAATCTTTCAACTCATGCTCTTAAGATTTTCGCTGGTTTCCTTCATCTCCTACTCTTCTTCTTTTCGTTTTTTGTTGTTGTTTTTTTCACCTATCCCTACCTACCAATTAATCTCTGCCAATGCCAAAGTTGTTAGTTGCAACGTTGGTGTTGTTGTTACTCTTGCCGATGTTGTTAAAATGCTTATCTTTTAATTTTAACTCATTGGATCAAGCAGCAGCAGCCCAGCAACAGTCGCAGTCGCAGTCGCAGTGGCAAAGAGAGAAGAACCCTCTTGCCACACAAAACTCGTTGCCGCCGCCGTCCACGTCTTCTTCTTCTTCTTCTTTGTCGTCGTCGTGTGTCTTGATAAAATGGTATTTTATAAATTCCTTTGGCAGAAGTCAGCGCGTTGTTGCTGCGACTGTGACTAAATATTTGCAGTTTGCAGTTGTGTGTTGTATGTTGAAAAAGCCTTGCCCCTTGTCGGCGTCAAGTTGAAAATGCTGTTGACCGTTTTGCTAAATTTGTTGCACACACAAATTGCGACTCATTTGTTAAAAGACTTACAGCCTGTACAAAATTTCTCCTTGTGTATATTTTGTTTTTAAGATGAGTCCCACTTGGATTTATTTCCGCTACTGAGCGAAGTTGGTTAATTAATCATGTGATTAACAACAATTGTTGCGAAAGTTGTGGCACGCAACTTTTCACTTAGCTATGTCTTCTGTTGTTTTTTTTTATTTTTGCATCACTTTTATAGATAATTAAAAAATGCCGTTTTTTGCGTATGCATTTTTTGTCTATTTATTGGCTGCCACATTGGCCAACTGGCCAAACTGGACGCCAAAAACTTGCAGTCAAATTGTGCGTCTCGCTTGAAGCGTTGCCGGTACGTCGCCTAATAACCTGTCATGCCACAAATCCGCCTGCTGCACGTATATGTGTGTCTGTGTGTGTGTGTTGCAAATGTAAATAAAACCACAACATACAACATACAACACACAATATTCAATTCTTTTTTTTCATTCGTCTGTTTGTCAATTTTAGTTGCTGCCTTAAGCTGCGCTTTTTTGGGGAATGTTGTTGCTTGGCGCGAGTTTTGCATTGAGCGTTTTTCCATGTTGCCACGTCAGGTGAGGCACACGACTTGGCCAATAAAAAAATATAAATAAAAATACAACTTACAGTTCGCTTAGAATTTTTGTTTGTGCAACACACACACAGACACACACACATGCATATATATATCTGACTTATATCAGCATATTTTTGGTAGCTTGGTAATTAATTAGTTGATATTGGAGTATGAATATTTTGTCAACTGCAGCTTGCAATTTATTGGCCCAACAACATTTCTGACCATATTCGTAGCTGGCTGTCTTTAATTTTTGTGTCGTTGAGTTTTTTTTTTCCACAAACTTTACTAAAAATTAGGAGCAATTTTATATTTTAATATCCACAGACTTATTATATTCTCAGTTTTACTTTTTTTTATATATTTTCATTTTTAATATTAAAATAATTATTCACTGTTTATTTTCAATAATTTGATTTGAAGTTTTTTAGTTTTCATTTTAATTTAATAAAAACTTTTTAAAATTTGTGGTTAAATAAATTAAATAAATAATTAACTTAGAAATTCTGTCATTATACACTGCCAGGTGCTACCGATTCATTTCACTTCTTTACTACTTATTCCGTGCCACTTTTTTTACTACTTATTCCCTGCCACTTTCACTGGCTGGTATTCTTTTCTTTTTATGCTGATCGCTTTTATTTTTTGCACAAACTCTTGCTTGTATATTTTCACTGAGTTCTTTGCATTTTTTTTTTTTTTGGTTTATGGTCAAGCTGAGCATTTAGCATCAAGCATCAAGCATATTGCCGTTTTTGCATTGCAAGAGATTTATGCATCGGTTTTTTATTTGTATGGTTTTTTTTTAGCTTCTTTTTGTCTTCTCTCTTTTGGCCCGCTTCAACTTCTTGGGCTTAGGTTCGACTTGGCTGCCTGCAATTCAAATAGTCATGCACCTGCAATTTACTTTATAGACCATGGCATAATGTGGCTATATAAAACAGCTATGTGTGTAGACACACATACACACACACACACACATAAACAAGTTGCCATCCAATGGTTTCTCAAAAAATGAAAAAAAAAAATTTTAAAGACCGGTCCCGCTCAGGCAAACAGCTGAAAATGCAACTGACGCTCAGTTGGTCGTGTGTTGCATGGCTGGCTGCCTGGCTGAGTGACTGCCTGCCTGTTGCCGCCCGCAAATACTTGCAAGTACTTGCCCCGCATACCTTGCTACAGCGTGGCACTTGTGACAAGCGCAAGTTTTCGAGTTTGCCAGTTTTGAATTTTTTTCGGCTTAGGATTTGTAATCTCTCAAAATTCCAATGAGGAGGAGGCCAGCGCCAGCAGCGCCTCCCAAGTTCAACTGTAACTTGAATCCAATTAATCTTCATTAGGGCTATCTACACACATTTCTTCTTCTCCATTTTTTTCTTGTAATTTTCTCACACACAATTTACTTATCTTTATTGTTATTTTTTCTTTCTGTTTCAGATCTGCTCATCCAGAGGCTCTCGGTGCAGCAAGTTCTCGAGGTCTCCTCCGAGTGGAAGACAAACAAATCGGAATCACAGCACACATCGCTTGAATATGATTTTCGTGTCACCTGCGATCCGCATTATTACGGATCTGGCTGTGCGAATCTCTGTCGACCCCGTGACGATCAATTTGGCCATTACACATGCTCCGAAACGGGTGAAATCATCTGCCTCACAGGCTGGCAGGGCACCTACTGCGAGAAACGTAAGTATCTCTTAAGATATCAGAATTGGGATTGGGATTTGGCTTGGGTTTGAGGAATAAGTGAGAGGGCAAAATAATATCAGCAACAACAACTGAAACAGCTTCAGTTCCATTCTTCGTTGTGTGCCGCAAATCGATTCTAGCATTCTTCGAGCTGAAGCTCTGCGCTCATGTTTGTTGTTGCTTGTTGTTATTATTATTTGTATTGTTGTTGCTGCCGCCGCATTGTCAAGTGGACAGAACGCGCCGCGTTTCTTGTGCCGCACTTCACGCGGGCAACTCTCATTATTATTGAAAATCACTTGCTTGTCAAATCAAATGAGATGATTGTACACAAAACAAAAAAAAAAATGAAAAATAAATAAAATGTGAGCAAGAGAAGGGGGTGCGGGGAGGGGAAGGAGCGGAGAGAGACAAGGAGCTGCTAACGAATTAAAAGTGTAATTATTTTCAATGCGTAGCTGGCAATGATTTGACGAAAACGCCACACAAAAAAATAAAATATTTGAATACCAAAATTCAAATATCGACAACGAAACAAGTAAAAATAAACCCAAAAGTGGAAAAAATCATAAAGTCAAACAAATAAATTAAAAATCAATGAATTTATAGTTTTTGTACCCGTTTTTGTTGTTGTTGTTGTGATGGGGGAAAAATCATTTGTCATTTGGCATGGGGCAGAACAAACAGGCGCAACAAAACGTCTAACGAACTGAAAACTAAAAGAAATCACTGAGGAAGCCGCTGCCACATGTGGCAAGAGTACAAGAAGTAGCAGAAGAAGCAAAACAAAAACAACAAAACTCAAACAGACTCTTTTTTTAGTAGTAGCCCAGCAGCCAGCTACCTATGCAGCATTTTTCGGGGGACTAACACACACAACCACACACACCACACACCACACACACACACATACACACCTATTGTAGGGACTGTGAATCAGATCACTAAAACTGAAAAATCTTCCCACGCCAAGTGCAAGTGGCCCCAGGTTTCATATATACATATATATTTGAGGTGTGGTGTGGACACACACATATACACACGCACACACACACAAAAGCAGCTTCTTGATCATCATGATGTACCTTCTCGTGGTTGATGTCGTTTTTGAGTATCTTCTGTTGACGTCGCAGTCGCAGTTGCAGTCGACGTCGTCTGCATGCCGCACATTGCTGAGGACGCGACCAGAAAGAAGAACTTCCTTTGGGGCTATGGCCATGGCTGATTACACCTTAAATGTGGTTCGTCCAGCTTGCTTTTTTTCGGACACAATTTTTGGTGTCCTTCTGCTGCCGGTGGTTAAGCAAGTTGGTAAAACAGCAGCTGCCTCTTCCGCTCTTGCTGTTGTTGTTGCTGCTGCTATACTTTATTTTCAAGTTAAATGCGCAAAAATGAGCTTAAATTAAGGCACACACACAAACACACACATGCGAAAATTATTTTCCATCAGCAGCAAATAAAAAGCCAAAACGTGCAAAAAATAAGTTGCTCATGTGGAAGTGAGTGCTGCCTTTATTAAATTGGCCCAAAAAGGTTTCCAACTTGCTTTTTGTTTTTTCTGAATGAACGCTGCGTTGTGCGTGCGTGTGTGAGTGTGTGTGTGTACAGTGTGTGTATTGGTTTTAATTTCAAGGAAATGAGCTATTTAGACTTTGTTGCCTTTTTCATGAATGAGCCCAGCTGCATTGGAAACTTGTGTGGCTATACAAGATTTGTGAGCTGTTGCTTTTGCTAAAGTAATAGATACAAATTAGTTACTTTTAATTTAGAATAATGTGAAAGTAAATAAGCACAGCTTAAAGATAGCAACAGAATCAACAATTCGGCCTGAGCTTGCGGGCGTGTGAACAAGCTAAGAAGAATATATACAAGAAAATTTAAACTAGCCACGAAACGATGCCTCAGACCAGGCTACCAGCTAACAACCAACAACTACCAACAACAACAACTGCCACAACAACTACAATAAACTCACTTTCAACTGCCCCGTCTGTGGGCATGTAATAAAAATCATTGCCAATTGCCAATATTACGGCTTATATATATTAGCTGCGTGCGGGGGAATTAAAAGCAACAGCAGCCGCAGCAGGAGCTGCAACCTCAGAGAGAGAACACGTTTTAGTGATTTTCTAGGCAATTTTCCTGCTTGAATGAAAAGAAGAAACTGTTGCAGGCGCATTTTTTCAAGCTGCCGTTTGTTGTTGCTGTTGGCCAGTATTGAAGAGGAGCTTTGCCTTATTCGCAATCTTCACGATTTAGTTTTTTTTTGTCCAGCTAGAGACCCTTGCGGATGAGGCGGGAGGGCAGCAGCAAAACTCCCCTACTTCCTGGCACAGGCACAGACCCAGCCCCGCAAGAAACATGTTTGCCACATTCTTGGCCCAGCTTCAGATACCAACGACAGCCTCAGCCTCAGTCTCAACTCTTCTTTTTCGTCTCTCTTCTCTCTTTTTGTGTGCAATTCACAATCGAAGTTTTCGTCGAACCTTTTGGAGCTTGGGAATCGGTTTTCGGGCCGCTGTTTTCTTGTTGCTGCCTTATGATGCTGCTGCTGCTGCTGCTGCTGCTGCTGCTGCTTGCAACTCTTTGCGGCCATGGGATTATTTCATTTTGTGGTGTTTCCTTTTGGCCTGGCGCGCATATTAGAAACAAGTTATTCCTGCTGCCGTACAGTTTGAGCGTCATTGCTGTTTTTTTTTTGCCATGATTCATTTTCGCCAAAAACAAAAAAAAAAAAAGAAATAAGAAGTAGTAATAGAAGTTAACATTTTAAACGTTTTCGTCTAACTCTTGAGCGATAAATGTTTTTTTTTTGTTGAAGATGGTTCATTTGGTCTTTTTTTTTGTGTTTTTTTGATAGCCCCGAAACGCGTGAAAAAGAAAGTTTTTGTTTTGGTTTCCTCTCTTTGAAACTGCTACAAATCTGGTGTTTGGTTTACTTCTTTCATTGTTTTCGTTGGCTTTGTCAATGTGGGCTGTGGCTGCGTGTGGGCGTAACTGCTACAAATTGTGGCAGGTGGCAGTTGATATCAGGCAGGTGATATCAACTGGCCACTTAACTTGAGAAAGTGACGATATTATTATTATTTTAAATGCAGCTCTTTTGTTGATGAATTTATATTTAAATATATAGAAACTAATCAACATATGAATTAACAATATATGTCTTTGCTTTCTTTCTACTTGCAGCCAAATGCGCCAAGGGCTGTGTCCATGGCCAGTGCGATAAGCCCAATCAATGCATGTAAGTTTTAACAAAAAAAAACTAAAATGAGTAAAAACAGTTTAAATAGTGTGCGAAGACCCCACACACAAAATTGCTGTGGCTAATTAAGCAGAGCTTTTGGCGCTAATTTTGTTTTTGTCAAGATGAGCTTTTTTGTGCTTGACGCTCTTTGGTTGCTGCACGTTTTATTTCTTCTTTTTTTAGTACTTGCCAACAGCAACAACAACAATAACAACAATTGTCTTTGGACACACCTTTGCAGTGTTATTTGACTAGTTGTTGTTGGCAGGTTTTGTTTGTCGAGTGCTACCAACTTTGGTAAAGGGCAAAAGCAGCAACACAAAAAGAAATAACTAACCAACTCTGTTTGCTTTTCAGCCGTTTAGTGCACGTTTTGTGCGACCACAAGAAATTCTTCTGTCTGTCTGTCTTTTTGTCCGTCTGTCTGTCTGGGAGTGCATTGGCTGTCATTTGATTGTCGAGGTTTTGCATTACAATTATATTCGAATTGCCTGCTGAAAAATAATCAAGTAAAAGCAATATATACACTGGCGAATCAAATTGAGTTACAAAGTTTTCCCACATTTTTCATAGGGCAAAAGCAACAACAACAGCAACAACAATAACAATAACAATGACACAGCAAGGTGTAAGCCAACACTTTTGACGACGCTCGCAAATATTTTATGCATGAAATTTCAAGCTCAAATCTCATAGAGCAGTAGCCACCCCTCCCCATCCACCACCCTCTAAGCAAGCAGCTGTTGTCGGCTGGCCAGCGTTGCCAGCTTGGAGTGCAGAAAGCTAATTGCGCCGTTGTTTAGATTTCTTCTTTTTGATTTTGAACAGGATGTTGCTCATTATTTATGCATTGCTGGCCAATAAAGTGCCTCCGCCCCTCCCTCTCCTTTCCGCCAACACCCAGCTTTGTACCAGTTCCCAGTGAGCCAAACGGAAATCAAACATTTTGTGGTTCAATAATTGTGCCAAAAACCAAATATTAAACACACATACCCACACAGACAGGCACGCATACACACACACACCTCAAATGTTATTGATGTGATTTGGGATAAAATGTTTGTTTTATAAATAGGGCCCGACGACGTGTTGATTGTTCGTAGAAAAATGCGCAAAGCGAACGTTAAGCTCTCAAGTAAACCAAACCAATACCATTGAAAACTAAAGTGCTTTTTTTTTGATGTGTGGGAATATTTTAATAATTCTATGCGCGCGCGCAATATCAACAAACACAAACACAACCATAGAAACACACACACGTGCACGCATACATATGCATATATGAATATACGCACTCATCGGACAGGTTGGCAACGCTGTGTGTTATGTGCTGACCGTCGTCGTCGCCGACGTTTTTGACATTTCTGCTTGTGTTGTGTACACACTAACGCATATCAATTACCACTTGTCTTGTACAACACACCCCTTCCACTCCCCCCTCCCAATCCTCATGTGTCAAGCGTCTGCTTTGAATTATTGCCAATTGTGAGTTTGTGGGTGAAGGATTTCTTTGTTGTATCATTTTGCATATATTTATCGATAATGCATCTCTGTGGCCACAATGCGATGCGCGTGCGTGCCTCGTATGTGTGCTTTTGCTTGCCAGCGCAAAGTGGAACGCGCTGCAAGTAAAATAAATAAATTTACTGCTTGCCAGATCGTGAGAAATGCAAAATTGTATCTATCATTCTTTGTCTCTCTCTCTCCCTCTCTCTCTCTGCCACTCTCGCTGTGTGCGGAAAACGGAACAAAATTACGTCCCATCTGATTGTTTCTTTTTTGTTTTTGACTTTCAAGTTGACATGCGTTTTCCTTCTTCTCCTGTCAAGTTGATGTCCCCTTTTTGGAGGGGGTCATCGAGCACATTAAATTGTGCGACGTAAAAGTGCAGATCAGATCCGCAGCAAAAGTTGCCGTCGTTGCCCTTTTCTTTGATTATTTTCTTTTTACAAACCTACATACATATGTATGTATGTATGAGTGTGTGTGTATAAATACTCAGCCAAGCGTTGCTGCACCCACACAGCCAATTACATAAATACGTATGTATATGCATGCATGTGTGTGTATGTGTGTGTGTATTGATTTATGTCTGTGTGAGCGATTTGCTAAACAGGTGATGCGCTGTCTGTCTTCCTCTTTGCTTTCAGCTCTTTCTTCATGCTTTCGCATTTTGCTCAAAAACTTCAAAAGTAAACCATCGCCCCGAGCGCATCAGCCGTGTCCGTCATATCCAGCAATCAGCGTCCGCTTTTTTTATACACTTTTTGCATTTGCCTTTTGCATTTCCATTTGCATTTGCATATTCCATTGATGATTTTATTGCTGTCTTTACTTTGTGCAACGTATTCGATCTGCTTTTCAGGAAACAGATTTAGTTGTTAACGATAAGCGATTATTTGATACATTCTTATCGATAGGCGAAGCAATTGGACTGTTAGCAAACAGTGTTGCCAATGCTGCCTTTTTATTACTAATCAGAGTTTCGTTACTTCGAAATAATTAATAAATTAAATTTGAAATTAATTAACTTGGGATTGGATCCAGTGAATTCAACAAATTAAGTTCAGTGATGATCAATATGCAATGTGTTTTCATTATTGCTGTCTTTACCTTAAGCAACATATTCGCGCTGCATTGCAGTAAATAAATATACAAATAATTAAATTAAATAAAATTAATTAACCAACTAACTTATTGTTTTCCTTTATTCTTACCTATTTGCAGATGTCAGAAGGGTTGGCGCGGACCGTTGTGCGACGAGTGCGCTCCTTATCCGAGTTGCGTGCACGGAACTTGCAACAAGCCTTGGGACTGCATTTGCAACGAAGGCTGGGGCGGTCTGTTCTGCAACCAGGATCTGAACTACTGCACCAACCATCGCCCGTGCTTGAATGGCGGCACCTGCTTCAACACCGGCCAGGGACTATACACGTGCAAATGTGCACCCGGATACAATGGCAACGATTGCCAGACGGAGATCAGCTCCTGTGACTCGGATGTGAATCCCTGCCAGAATGGGGGCACGTGCGTCGACGAAGCGACACAGCGTGGTTACAAGTGCCTCTGCCCCAAGGGTTGGAATGGACGAATGTGCGAGGAGAAGCTGCTCACCTGCGCCGACAAACCCTGCCACCAGGGCAGATGCCGAAACACGAGTCCAAATGGCAACAACAACAGCAAACAGCAGGGGTTTCAATGCGACTGCCCCAGCGGATATAGTGGACCCACCTGTGATCTACATTTGGACAACTGCAATCCGAATCCCTGCCAGAATGGTGCCACCTGCCAGCCGAACGGTAAATGCAACTGCCCCGAGGGCTACACAGGCGCCAGATGCGAACAGAACATCGACGATTGTGTGGGGCACAAGTGCCAAAATGGTGGCACCTGTATCGACATGCTCAACCAGTATCGCTGCCAATGCGTGCCCGGTTTCCATGGACCGCGCTGCAGCAGCAAAGTGGATCTCTGCCTGACCAAACCCTGCGCCAACGGTGGCACTTGCACCAATCTCAACAATGATTACCAATGCGCTTGCCGAGCTGGATTCACCGGTAAGGATTGCTCCATCGATATCGATGAGTGTGGCAGCACGCCTTGCCACAACGGCGGCACCTGCATGAATCGTGTCAACAGCTTCGAATGCGTCTGCGCCAATGGATTCCGTGGCAGGCAATGCGACGAGGAATCCTACGATTCGGTCACCTTCGACGCCCATCAATATGGGGCAACGACGCAAGCCCGTGCCGATGGTCTCACAAATGCCCAAGTGGTGCTCATTGCCATCTTCTCGGTGGCCATGCCCCTTGTGGCAGTGATCGCTGCCTGCGTCGTCTTCTGCATGAAGCGGAAACGGAAACGTGCCCAGGAAAAGGACGACGCCGAGGCACGCAAACAGAACGAACAGAATGCGGTTGCCACGTTGCATCACAATGGCAGCGGCGTTGGCGTTGGCGTCGGTGTTGGTCTCGGGCTGCCACCGGGTGGCACAACGCTGGGCGTCAAGCGTGGCAGCAGCGGTGGCCTCACCTTTGACAACAGTAACCCGAACATCATCAAGAACACTTGGGACAAATCGGTGAATAATATTTGCGCCTCTGCCGCGGCTGCGGCTGCGGCAGCTGCAGCAGCCGATGAGTGCCGCATGTATTCCGGAGCCTTGGCCAATTACGCTGTGGCAACGGCAACAGCGGACAACAATGCCAATTCGGAATTTTGTGGCGTTGGCCAGTTGGCGCCGCTGCAACGCGCCAAATCGCAAAAGCAACTCAACACGGATCCAACGTTGATGCAACATCGTGCCTCACAGCTGCTCTCCGCCGGCGCAGGCGTCGCTGCAGCAGCGGCGGCTGCAGCAGCAGCAGCGGCCAGTGGCACAACCAAAGAGTACAGCACCGCAGTGGGCGTTGCTGCAACGGCAGCGACGAACTCAGCACACAGCGAGCAGGGTGGTGGAGGTGGCAAGGGGAGCGGTGGTGGTGGCAAGCGCATTTCGGTGCTGGGCGAGGGCTCCTATTGCAGCCAGCGTTGGCCATCCTTGGCAGCGGCAGGTGTGGCAGGTGCCTGCTCCTCCCAGCTAATGGCGGCGGCAGCGGCGACGGGCAGTGGTGCGGCGACGACGCAGCGCACAGTGGTCTGTGGCACGCCGCACATGTAAACAAAGACTGCACAGAAGGAAAGAGACGCAGAGAGAGAGAGAGAAAGAGAGAGGGAGCAAGCAAGAAAGAGAGAGAGAGAGACGCCAAATGATGAGCCATTTGTTGGCTTTGTTGTTGATTGAAGCAGTGCAGTCGTCAAAATTGTAACAGGCTTAACACACACCCACACGCACACACACACACATACACCCGCACACACAAAAAATGTTTAACTTTCCATATTTTGCCTAATTAACAATTTAAAAAATGTGTTGCGCTTGGTCTGACGTAAGCATAAAGTTCTCATTTGTACATACTAAAAATTTATATAAAAGAAATTCGCGCCTTTGACTTAAACTCTTCAAAAACTTGACTAGGTTGCCACAAAATAAGAAAAACTGAACGAAAAAAAGAAACTAAAGAAACACATTTCTACTGACGTTTTGCATGTTACTGAAAAATCTGCTTCAATTATTATTATTAGAATTGTGCTTAGTTGCGATCGATTGTAAATATTACTTAACGCAAAGAACTCTAAACATAATTAGCACTTAATTTTAGCCACTAAGCAATCACAAACACAAAAAACAAAACACAGAAAACAGAAAAAAAATACAATTCCTCATTGACGCTGCATGTCGACTCTTTGTCTATGCAAAGTAGTGCGCAAGCATTTTGTACATACTAATTATAGGTAATCAACTCTGATAAACAACAAACATACAAAAAAAAAAAAACATTCAACGCAAAAAACAAAAAAAGCAACAAAAAAATTGACTATCTCGCGCTCTACTTTTAATGTCTAAAGTATATGCATAAAGTATAACTAAATTTAACTCTAGCTTAATTACATTATCTACATAGAAACACACAGACAAACAAGCGAAGACAAACAAAAACATTTAGTGATTCTATTATAAGTGCTTAATATTTACACACAATAACTTTATAAACCTTTTATTTCTTCATTTTTTTTAACTTTTTGTATAATTTTTGGCATTTTTTTTTTTTAATTTGGAGCAATTATATGGAAAAAAGAAGTCAACATTATTTATAGTTAAAACTTAACTGTAAACGAGACATGTATTGAATTTATAAATCTTAAGCATAAATTTATTTGAAAATTTAACAACAAACACAATTGAATGAAATATACAAAAAAAAAAAAAAAGAAAAAAAAAACAATCATTTACGTTTGAAAGTCTTCAGAACATTATAGTCTTATTAATACTTTTTGTTATTAAAACCAAACAACAAATTGCTTACATTTAATTTTGATCTCAAAACCTTTAAACAAACAATGTGTAGTATGAAAGTATGAAGCAACAACTGTTTGCGAAATTCTAAAATATCAAAATTAAATCTTCACAAAACGAACTCAACTCCAACTTACAGTTAAATTGCAAATGGTTCCTCGTTAGTCTAAAACTAGTTGTAAAAGTGCTAAAAACAAAGCAAACGATGCGGCAAATTAATGTTGAATATACTCTATATATATAAATATATATATATATACATTTTTTTAATGCATTTGCTACTTAAATCGAAACAGAAACATTCAAATCTACACAGAAAGATCAGCGCTCATCAATATTTATCTCAACTAACTTTGTACATATTTAACTTAAAGCTCTCTCAAATACATTTTGTTATCTACTCTCATACATAGGACCGCCTATATACATCTATATATGTATATATATATTTTATAAATATTTAATTTTTTAAATAGTCGTTTTTAGTAATTTATATTTTTATTGCAAAAAAGAAAAACTTAAAAAAATAGACACACACATGTCAGATTGTATAAAGTATATAAGACCTTAAACACATATATTTATACAATATGAATTATATAAATAATAGTAGTTACATACATACAATTGTAATTTAGTGTTGTACTTACGATTTAGTCTAAACAATTTTATGAAATTTTAGTAATTAAAAAATGAATTGAAAAACTGCAAGAAAAAAAAACAAGCTACGAAAAACGAACAAACAAAATGCAAAAGAAAAAATATGAAAAAAAAAACAATAAAAATTTGTATGAATGAATTCTAAAAAACATGGCTTTCTTATTTTGAACTGAACAAACTCATGGCAAATGCCCCACTATGGTTAATTTGGGAGTTGACAACACTGTGCATGACGTTACTGCATCCAAGATGCCGCCAAATTGAAAATTAAACGCATTTTAAATGTTGTACAACGACAAAAATATGGAAGTGCTTGACACGCTGCCAGCAAATATTGACTAATAAACGTTAGCACTAACGACAATAGCGGAAAAAGGTGTTAGTTGGAAGAGGAAGAATGAGACAGGTAATAAAACAAAGAACAAACAAGACATGTACATATATGCATAAGTGTATCCGAGTGCCAAATGATTGGCTTAACATTTAAATACAATTTTAATTTCAACTACATGCCTCAAAAGTGCATCAAATATGCAGACAACAACTGGCGGAAGAAAGCGCTTACCAGCTATATAAATATATATACATGTATACATTTACATATATACATATGTACATATACACATACAGACATACATATCTATGTACAATTCAGAGAAAATCAAAAGTTGTTGCTGACGGCATTCGTTGTATCTTCTTGCCATGAATTTTGTGTGTGAGGATCTGCGATATAATCACCGTGGAACAAAGCTTTGTGGAATTGAAGTGTGCTAATCTCACTTTTGCATGCGTAGACTCAAATGCTACTCTTTATATATGCATTATATTTTCTCCAATGTGGAATATTCACACTTCAAAGCCAGACCTCAAATTGAAATCATAGGAGAACTATTTGTTAATAATATTTCTTACAAGTAAAAATTGAGAACAGGAAACCTAATAATAAATTTTGCTTGAGCCGAACAAAAATATAATAAGATATCAAACGGCGAATAAAAATACATTCGAAATCCGGGTAACAAGGGTATATTTTCTATCTATCTATTATTTTAAAACAGGAAATAACGGTCCTCCAGAGCTCAAAATATTATTACATTTTATTAATTTTTTTTTGTAATTTTTCAAATGGTTTTTCGGTGCTAAAACAATAAAGGGGATATCCGGACATTCATTGATGCTGAAGAAGGATATATATATACACCTTATCAAGTCGGAGAACGTTTCAACAATGCGTTGCACATTTCATAGGTATAAAAGGAAACAAATATTTTACACCATAGGAAATTTCGACACTAAATGTAATTTGGCAAACTAGTTGGCAATTTGTGCACACAGAAATTCAGATAAGGCCCATGGTATCTGTTGCCGGTATTACAATCGCACAGAGGCTAGATGGTTGGGTCTTGGCTGCTGCAGTCGCTCCAGCAACAAAGCATTAACAATAAATTCTCGCATGCCATTGTGAAATTCTCACAATAATCATAAATAATACTTTATTTTTACTTTTTAAACGACGCCGTTTGTGCTGTTAATGAAGTTGCTGAGGAGTGCGTATCCATATGCGTATGCATTTGCCTTTTGGCTGGGAGCAGCTTTATATCGCTTTGTGGCCTGTCAACATGGGCCGCAAATATCATAGCTATTGCCATAACCATTGCCACAGCCATTGCCATAGTCATAGAGAAGAGCGACTCGAGACCTGAGACTCGAGACTCGAGACTTGTCCAGCCGCCTAATTAAGCAACTTTAAACTTGGCAATACAAAGTGGCAAGTCATTTGGACGATGGGCAGTAGAAATAAATATTCGAATGTGTGTGTGTGTATGTGTGTGTGTGTTTGTGTGTGTAGTCACAAGCATATCATTTACAAAACAATTACGCATACGCCGCATACGCGGCAAGATGCATCAACGAGCAGTCCACTTGAAGACTAAGCCATTAAAATGCACTATGAAAATATTATGTTAGGTTGTGGACACTCGACTCGAAAGGGAGAGCGCGGAGAGTGGAGATGAGCCGTGACACTGCTCATTCAACATTTGTGGAGACCATGCCCGTTATTGTATTTGTTTACCAAGTTGCTTTACTCCACATTTTGTCGTTTCATGGCCTCTAGCCGTTGACACCTAATTGTGTTTACGTAGGCGTCCGGTAAGCTCCGATCCGGTCCGGTTTGGTCCTTTATGAAGTGCCAGTTCAAACTCCAAATTAACTCATTGAAAACGCGTTTCAATTATGTTTAGACAAACAACAGCAATGGGCACAGGGTTGACAGTAATAATGAACGGTTTGTCAACGGCCCAAAAAATCCCAGACTCATTTTGTATTTTATGCCTTTGTCTGCGCCTCGAAAAACCAGTTGAAAAATGTTTGCCTCAATTCTCATAATGCCAAACCAAACCAAAAAAAAAAAAAAAACTCCAACAACTGCAGCATTTAAGAAAAAGATCAACAAGAACTCTGTGTTCTTGTTCTCATTCTTGTCTCTCTGGCTTGTCTCGTATAAAAAGTTCTGTAGTCGCATTTTTTGGTTGTTCTGTTTTTTTTTTTTTTTAATCCATCGTGCATTCATTGTCCGCGCCTAATCGCTATAAAAGATCTCGCTTTTCATCTTCGTGACGCTCAACTGCGTTGTTGATCTTGAAAATTTGCTCTAAACGAGCGCCAAGAACAACAGCAACAACTACTACAGCTGCCAGGTTCGAAATCAAAATAGTAAACTAAGCAATCGGATTGTTGGATTTAAATGTGATCAGTGCACATGATCGGAAATTGTAGCTGCTGTTGAAGCATTGGGCTGTGAACACTGAGAGAAAATCACAGTAAGCACACACAATAATTTAGCACTAAGAGTAACTCATCCTATTATTCAGAAAGTGTATTTAAAGGTCTAGCATAGCAGTTGAGAGAGCTAATTTTAATACTATTTTCTGAATTTCAGAATGCAGGGTTTTTAAAATATAGGTACACATATAAGAAATATATTTCTAAAATATAGAAAAATACCTTTCTAATTTTAATACATTCAATACATTATTTCTAAAAAAACCAACTTTTTATTTTTCAGAACGATTCTCATTTTAGTGCAATTTCGTACAATTCAGGACGATTTTTATTTTTAAGTGAAGTTTAGTTTCGGTTAAAAACAATCTCATAGAATCTTGAGTATGCTACTAAAACAAAACCAGTCTTAATTGATCAGAAAGCAAAATAATTCAAATATTCGAACATATTCTTACACGTAGAGCATCAGCTGACAACAGCTTATGATATTGTAATCAAGGCAATCAAAATAAACTTGCAGAAATATTTAAAAATCGTTGCTTTGCTTCTAAACCGTCCTTGAGAATATCCCCCAAATTTCTTTTACAACAAAAATAGCCTTTCGCTCAGTGCAGGCTACTCGTATTTCAAAATGTGCCTTAACAAAACATACACACCGCTAACCCATAAGTGCCCCATAATTTAATGAGCTTCATTCATTCATTTTTCAAAGTAGAGACACACACAGCTCCAATTCTATTAAAGAGCGCAGCGCAGTGAAGCCGACGACAAACCGAAAATGAGAAGAAGAAAAAAGGTCATCTTATCATAAATAAACTGACATAAAATCAAGAATCAAATTCAAAGCGAAGACAACCCAAACTGAGGCAGTCGGGCAGGCAAAACAACAAATCCGTGGCCAAAAGTACATTGTGGAGAATTACACAATAAATGAAATGCAGACCAATGGAGCGCACTGTCTGAGCAGGCAGACAGACAGATAGACAGACAGAGAGATGGGCAGACAGAGAGACAGACAGACGGACACGGCACGGAAAGACGTCAGACAAAAAGCGCAGAGAAAAATGATTCACTATGGAATTTTATGAGCTGAGAACATTTTCAAACTGCCTTCAATGCCATGGGATACAAATGCGGCGAGTGTGTTGAGTATTAACCAGCTGGTAGCTGGTAGTTTGGTAGCTGGAAGCTGGAAGTTGGCAGCAGCTTAGCAACTGAAGTAGCCAACTATACGAATATAAGCATTTTGTTATCTAGTCGTCCCATGCAAATGAGATCGATAAAATATTAAAGTAAACATTTTAGAGATGCAGCGATGAAAGCGACCAACTCCGATCTAATTGAGTGTGAAAAGGTTGCGAGAGCGTTGAGTCTCAGCTCAACAGATTATCAGATTATCAGGCAAACTTGTAGATTGTACACTGGGGAATTGGGCTCCCATTCGGTCCAGGTAGCGCCGCAGCCATTTAAGGCCAA